CAGGGGTGCAGACCTGGGGAGGGCAGGGGACCCTTTTTGGTTTGTTTTTTGTTTTGTTTTGTTAGTCTTCACCTGAGGGTATTTTTTCCCACTGATTTTTTGAGAGAGTGGAAAGGAGGGAGGGAAGAGGGGAGAGAGGTGGGAGGAGAAAGAGAAACATTGAAATTAATGTGAGAGACACATGGATTGGCTGCCTCCTGCATGTGCCCCTACCGGGACGGGGGATGGAACCTGCAACCCAGATATATGCCTTTGACCCGGAATCGAACCCTGGATCCTTTGGCTCCCAGGCTGACACTAACCACTGAGCCCACCGGCCAGGGCTTGGCCTCTTAAGTTTGCCCTTTCCCACCTCCAGTTGAGCTGCAATCCCCCTGCAGTTCCTCGTCACCCCCTTTAATAAAAACTATTTAGTGAGCACTTACCTTGTGCCCTGCATGCACTGGCTCACGTGATCCCCTCAGCCCGAGGGCCCGTTACTACCCATGTCCCAGGGAGACACGGGCTCACAGGAGCAGCAGCCAGCACACAGCAGGGCAGGTGGAGCTCAGGATGCGGGGTCCAGAACTTGTGCTTAACTTTTTTTCCCTAAGCTTTTATTATGAAAGTTTTCAAATATTGAGACAGTATTGCAAGAATAGTGACGTGAACACGGCCCGTGCACTGCCGGCAGGCACCTGTGGCCATCGCCAGCTGGGCTGCAGGTGGCGCTGCGTCTCAGCATCCGTCCCACGTCCACGCTCGCATTCCAAAGCGGGGCACTCCCCTCCCCCTAAAGTTTTCAGCTCGCACCTCCTGAGAATAAGGACCCAGGACTGTTGTCACGCCTAAGAAAGTTAGCAACGGTACCCAATCTGCATCAAATTTGCCTGGCTGGCGTGGCTCAGCGGTTGAGATTTGACCTATGAACCAGGAGGTCAGGTTTCGATTCCCGGTCAGGGCACATGCCCGGGTTTCAGGCTCGGTCCCCACTGGGGGGTTTGCAGGGGGCAGCCGATCAATGATTCTCTCTCATCATCGATGTTTCTCTCTTTCCCTCTCCCTTCCTCTCTGAAATCAACTTGTAAAAAATACATATTTTAGTTCAGCTTAGAATCAGCTGCGGGTGAATGTGGGTGGCTTTGGGGCAAGGGCAGTTGGGGCTTAGGGTTCCTGGGTAATTAGGGGTACAGGCAGGTGTGGGAGATCCCTCCTTATGCTCTCTGCTCCCCCAGATCTTTGGCATTCTGAAGGCTCCCTTCCGCGACAAGGGTGGTGAGGGCCCCCTGGTGCGGCTGGAGGAGCTGTCGGACCAGAAGAACGCCCCCTACCAGCACATGTTCCGCCTCTGCTACCGGGTGCTGCGGCACTCCCAGGAGGACTACCGCAAGAACCAGGTGCCGCTGGCCCGCCCCGCGGCCCCCCTGCCCCCTGGGGGCTGGACAGGGACCCAGACAGCAGGCTGGCTTCCTGGCCGGGTGACCTGGCTGCTCAGAAGGGCCTTGGGCTGGGTTTAATGCTCTGTTGCCGTCTTGAGATTCTTAAGTTTGAATAGGGGTCCTGCTGTTCCACTTTGTGGGCCCACATGATGTAGCTGGTCCTGCCCGACAAGGCCCCTCCCTCGCAGAGGCCTGACCCTGGGAGGGAGACAGACCGCGCACCCAATAACTGTTGTAGAACCCCCGCTCCTGCCCGGTGTGGGCTTCCTTTCCTGGATGCTGCCAGTCTGGGGTCGGGGTCCCCTGCCTGTCTCGGGGTCTGGAGCAGAGCTGCACCCCTGACCCCCAGCCCGTCCGCCCCGCAGGAGCACATCGCCAAGCAGTTTGGGATGATGCAGTCCCAGATCGGCTACGACATCCTGGCTGAGGACACCATCACCGCCCTGCTGCACAACAACCGCAAGCTCCTGGAGAAGCACATCACCAAGACCGAGGTGGAGACCTTCGTCAGCCTGGTGCGCAAGAACCGGGAGCCCAGGTCGGCACGCCCCTCCACCCCTCACCCCTGCCCAGCCCAGGTCAGCTGC